ATTTTTAACTCAGATAGTTTTGAAATCAAACAAAGCAAAAATGATTCATAGTGATGCTCAAAGTTAGCACTTTAGATGAGAAATTTAGCGCAAAAAGTGCTCGTTCACGTGCTTTGAAGAATATTTTGAATATCAGTATTACGTTTAGAATTATCTATGATCATCAACCTAAAGCTTGACAAGATATATAGTGTCATATGTGTCTGCTGCACGAGTATAATAGAATCAAAAATTTTACAACTTCAAATTCTATACAATTCAAGACAATTATTCATCTCATGTTTGAAACTCTAAAATTTTGTATTCATCTAGATCAAAATAAGCTTTTTTTTATATCATAATATGTGTATCATTTTTTGCCACCAAATGCTACCAACAAATGTTAAACTTTTGATTCGGTCTTTCAACATGCACTTTCGCTATGCATAACTGAACCATCTAATGTTTGACTATGAAATCTGAAAGACAAATGAACATGCATTTGATATTTAGTTTTTGATTTATGATCATACACATCTGCATAACTTGCTTGATTCAATTAGGTTATCAAGGATAATATAATTTCACAATTGCCAAAGCCAATTGTGAAAGCCAATTGTTCCTTGTAATTTTCAATGTGAAATCTGACAAGATTTAGCTCAATCTGCTCCAAATTCAAGTTAAACTATTGATAATTTAGTGAAAATGTTACAAAAAAAAATTGACTCGATGAATAATTTTCAACGTCTTTGGCTCTTGATGATGCAAGTATTGAACAAGCTGCCAAACCTCTAATTGAAATGAATGATCTTGATGCTACTGACGACAATCATGTTGATGATGTTAGCATTTTCAAGTTTGTATTAGAACAACACAACCTCCTACTCAATGCAACAATTGAGATGATGATGATGTGTAACACAAGGGTTTAGAGAGAAGTTCACTCGAAGATAGAAACGTAAACTCTGAAAATGAGAGATACCAACAATGGTTCTACTCTCCCTTATATAGCTCTCACCAACAAGTACAAGGTGATAAGATCTAATCCCCACCATCCATCCCACTCCTAGTGGATGGATGACGTGGCGGATAACCTTAACAAGCACACGGATCGCTGACGTGGCGCACCCAACTAACACACTAACTAACACACTCAATCCTTACCTACAAGCACACGGATTGTTGACGTGGCACTGTGAACTAACACATCCACTCTGTACCTACCAAGTGCGCGGATTGCTGACGTGGCAGCTATGATTAGTGCACACTAAAGTATCTACATCAATATTCAGAGTAACCTCTACTTTAGTTCTAACTAACTAAAGATGGTTACATGATGTTGATATCTTGATTATGGTAATCGTCAAGCAAACAAATCAAACAATTGTTGATTTGATCAACTTTTTTTCTCTTGAATCATTTATATTAATAGAGATTTAAAGTAATTTAATTTTCAACCTTCTAAGAGCTTGTAGTCCGTTGTTCCATCAATATAAAAATTGATATTCATCAATTGAAAACGTTGCATACCTGAAACAATCAACGATACAATATGTAGCAAAATCTATCTACAATAAAGTCTAGAAAGAATGAACAATCACACGATTCAATAATATTTGCTCATGACAATTTGGACAAGTAATAGGTAGATTGTTCATGGAAAGAAAGATAATAGTTTAACAACTAAACATTTTAATGCACTTCTTTCTCTTTGGAATGGGGCACACATTTGGATGTATGGACTAGACATCTGACTGCAAACAATCTTGATGTCATTCAAGTCGACATTTTGATTGATACTTAGAGCCTATACAAACTCAAAACGTTTAGAACTTCATATTCATGAATCTCAAAAGTGGTCACTTTACATGGTGCACTCTTATTTATGTTCATTTTACAAGATACATGTCTGCATGAATTCCATAGACGTTGCATTTTGGGCAAAAATGTGAATAACAGCTACAACGTTTTTTACACAAGACGTGTTTACAAGCTCGCAAACGCTACGTTTTGGAGAGAAATATGAAAAACAATTGCGACATTCTTTACATGAGGCGGATTTATAAAAAGCTCGCACATGTTGTGTTCAAGACACAAATGTGAATGATATTTGTGACATCTTTACACGAGCCAAGCTCGCAAGAAACTTGTAGGCTTTGCGTTCTTGACGACGATGGATGCGACAACCTTGAGGCTAGGATGGTGATGGCAGATAACTATACGACAGCGATATCCTTTACACAAAGTAGGTTTGCAAGAAGTCCGTAATAACACAAATTACACAAACTCAGGGTAGAATTGAAACAACTTTGACATTGGCAAATAGGAGGAGCGACCACAATGTGTATTCGAGAAGGAGCGTTCATAATGTGTATTGAAAAAGCGATGACCACCAGACGAGCTTTGATACTCTTAGTACAACCTTCGTTACGCTTCTTCATATGATGTAGAAATATCTGAACTATGGATCGAACGAGTACTTAGAAGGAAGATCGGTGAAGCGGATCTTTTCTACGGGCATGTAGCTTGCAGAAAAAGTTCGCGGTCAGAAAAGAGTTCATGCATACAGTCCACATCAAATTGGATGTTGCGATGAAGTCGTGAGTTGAATCGAGATAATCATGATTATGATTTGAATTGTAGCTTCAAACAAAGTACTTGACATGGTCACTAGTGAATAGTATCATGATACTAATCACAACAATGACAAACTTCTATTATTGGGTTGATTTACAAGTTACAAACTAATGGTTTTGGAATTTGATGTCATTAATGGAAAAATGTCACTCATAGAAAGTGAAAATATTGGAAGTATGAACTCTCTAATGTGAAGAACATTCTTCACATCGATAATTCTAATAAAAATTATTATAAAGTTATAATTCCTCAAATTTTAACCTAATTACTGAGGTGTTATTATTTAATAGAAGCTATATGCAATAGTTTAGCTCAAAAAATACAACAAGAATCTGATTACATGGCATGATTTCAAAGTTTAGAATGTACCTAAAAAAGTAACATGATATTTAATGCGGAGTCTATCAAAATGGATAATACAATTTTATCATGATATATAATGGATAAATCATTTATTCATGAATGTAGAATTTGGGGTGAAATTCTTAAACGACTCTTTGACGGGAACTTGTTCATATTCAACTTTTTCATGTGTTTAAATTCCATTGCCACATTTTAATTTCATGAGAATCTCTAAAAGTATAGAAATATAGAACTTCAAATCAAAGAACAATTTATATGATTTTGCGCTGTTTATAAATCACAATGAGCCAATTCCAAGAACACATGAGTATTTTCACCAAGATAAGTATCAATATTGGTAGGTTATCACAGGTGATCCTACCGTATTGGGTGGAACTAGAATCAGAATTGGAGGACTGGGGATGGAAGATTTTCCATACCTTCTCATGTGTGACGATCTCTGAAATTCGACAGCTCCAGAATTGACTGGACATCGGCGAGAACTGCTACAAGATATTACAAGACGCGAGGCACTTGTCATTTATTGATTGAAACTCGAAGCAAAATATTCCGAAGTATGAAAACCTCGTGAAACGAAAACTTCGCTTTGCATGTCTGCTTGTTGTGTAAAGCCGACACTCGTTGACTGCTGCAAAGTACTGTACCTACAAGCAAACAGGAGTCATGGGTCACGAAGCCACGAAGGTCTGATTCGCGACTGAATGCCACCAAGTCTCCGGTCAAAGCATGAGACAACCGATGTGAGTCTGCTGTGCTTGCATCTCTGAGCATCTCAGATACATCCTTCGCATACGTCACGGCTTCACGCCCACCACGCTCACGTAAGAAGAAACCAACCACATACACAGTTCGTAGCCTTTATGTGCAGGACGTGGGCTCGATTGGTCGCACAAATTCCACAACCTCGGGAAAAAAACTGCCAAACGCTTGATACGAGGGGTGTCGTGAACAAGATCATGAGGCGGAATACTCTGCCTAGATAATCAGCGCTCTATTCAACGTGAACGTTGTCTTGAAATCAATAAATTGAAGTTACTACTGCAGAGAGATCCACATCTGCTGTTTGTTTTTTAACATTATATGCCATATTGCATCAATTATACTAGTCAATAGTTGATCATATTGTTCTTTTTCTGCGGAACAAGGTTATGGCTGTAGTACAAGAGTGAGATGTCTGGCCGTCCAGAAAATGCCTTAAGGTGTAATAATATATGATGAAATGAGCTCGTGTGGATGGAAAGACCGTGACGCGAGATATTCCGAAGGAAGTCGTCCGGGGATATGAATGACCGATCTCGGCGAGAGTAGGGCCGAACAGGCAGAAGGCGGCGTCTCCATGGTGGTGCAGCTGATGCAGGTCGGGAGACCGGGCACACGTGGCGGCCAGGGGGCCGGGGTCAGGTTGACGCTGCAAGAGGGGCTGGAACACGCGGCGAGCACAGAATCTCTGCGAAGCTGACGCTACTGCAGCTCGAGTCCCACGTGGCGAACACGTGACCGTGAATCGGGCGAGCCCCGCGCGGCGACCGCGCGGTGTCCCGTCGCGGGAAACTTCGCGGCGTCATGCGAAGAAGCAAACCGCGCAGCCCTTCGGATTCGTATGCGCTAGCCAACCACTCACCGGCGACCGGCTCGCGCGGTCGCCGGACCGCGCTCCTTCCCGCGGCCCTTCGAGTCAATGCCGTCGTCGGACGATGGCCGCGACCACAAGCGCCAGACCCCAGCCCCGCTACGCGAGAAGATTTTTAACGATCCGACGAGGCCCGATTGCGGTGGTACATAAGCCCCCCGGGGGTCTTTCGACAGCCCCAGCAGTCCCCCCCCCCCCCCCCCCCCCCCACACAGCAATTCCCACCGCCCAACACCGATTCGGGCTGATTAGCCGGGTCCCTCTTCCCCCCGTGTGTGCTTCGCTCCGCCGTCTGCTCTGCTCTGCCCGATCTTCTCCGCGAGGGCTCGGAGCCGCGCTTGGTGCTTGGGCCTGGGCTTGGGCTAAAAGGAAGGGCCACTCGTCGACGGTCGCCCGCTGCTGTCTTGCGACCGGGGGTAATTGACAGGGGCTTCAGAAGTAGAAGCAGCAGCAGTAGCAGCAGAGGGAGCATTGCGGAGGGGAATCATGGCGGAGAGAGGATTGTCGAGGATCGGGCTGGCGGGGTTGGCGGTGATGGGGCAGAATTTGGCCCTCAACATCGCCGAGAAGGGGTTTCCAATCTCGGTGTACAACAGGAGCAACAACAAGGTCGATGAAACGATCGAGAGGGCCAAGGCCGAGGGCAGTCTGCCGCTGAAAGGCTACTACGATCCGAGGGAATTCGTGGAGTCCATCGCCAAGCCGCGCGCCATCATCATCCTCGTGAAGGCCGGCGCGCCCGTGGATCAGACCATCGCCACGCTGTCGGAGTTTCTGGAGCCCGGCGACTGCATCATCGATGGCGGCAACGAGTGGTACGAGAACACCGAGCGGCGGGCCGAGCTCGTCAAGGCCAAGGGCCTGCACTATTTGGGCATGGGAGTCTCGGGCGGCGAGGAGGGCGCTCGCCGAGGCCCCTCGATGATGCCCGGAGGCACTCTCGAGGCCTACAAGTACATCGAGGACATCGTCACCAAGGTCGCGGCCCAGGTCGACGACGGGCCCTGCGTCACGTACATCGGGCCCGGAGGCGCCGGCAATTTCGTCAAGATGGTGCACAACGGGATCGAGTATGGCGACATGCAGCTCATCTCCGAGGCTTACGACGTGCTCAAATCCGTGGGCGGATTGAGCAACCGCGAGCTTCACGAGACCTTCACCGAGTGGAATCGCGGCGAGCTCGAGAGCTTCTTGATCGAAATCACTGCGGACATTTTCGGCGTGCAGGACGAGCAGGGCGAGGGCGAGCTGGTGGACAAAATTCTCGACAAAACCGGCATGAAGGGCACGGGCAAGTGGACGGTGCAGCAGGCGGCCGAGCTCTCGATCGCCGTGCCCACCATCGCCGCCTCGTTGGATTCGCGCTTCCTCAGTGGCCTCAAGGAAGAGCGCGTGGCGGCCGCCAGCGCCTTCAAGCAGTATGGCGTGGGCGACATCTTGGCGCAGAAGGACATCGACAAGAAGCAGCTGATCGACGACGTGCGCAAAGCGCTGTACGCGTCCAAGATCTGCAGCTACGCGCAGGGCATGAACCTCATCCGCGCCAAGGGCATGGAGAAGAGCTGGAACCTGAACCTCGGCGAAATCTCCCGCATCTGGAAGGGCGGCTGTATCATTCGAGCGAAATTTCTCGACCGCATCAAGGCCGCCTACGATCGCGACTCCAACATCGCCAGCTTGCTCTTGGATCCCGATTTTGCCAAGGAGATGGTCGAGCGCCAAGGCGCCTGGAGGCGCGTGGTGACTCTGGCCATCGGCGTCGGCATCAGCACCCCGGGCATGAGTGCCAGCCTCGCCTACTTCGATTCGTACCGCCGCCAGCGCCTGCCCGCCAACCTCTTGCAGGCGCAGCGAGATTACTTCGGCGCACACACGTACGAGCGCATCGACAAGGACGGCGCCTTCCACACCGAGTGGTACAAAATCTCGCAGAAAAACAAGCAAGTGTCCAATTTGTAGTCCTCTCGTGTACATGTCTGTCATCTCGTGTAGTTAGCGTTCGGGAATTCTCCGTGGCTGCAATAAGGTTTACGAAAACAAGAAGAGAAAAGAGAGAGATCGGTGCGAGCCGAATTAGGGCCTGTAGGATAATTTGTTAATAAAGTGCGAGCACATTACAGCTCAATTTTCCATCCCCCCACCTCATCACAATGTTGCTCTCGCTCTCGCTCGTGCTCTTGCTCTTACGCACACGCATACGCAGCGGTGATTCTGTTTTTGTCAATTCGACGCTCGCGAGGAACGCTGACATTGATTCTAATGCATGTGAGGGCTTCATCGCTCGATAACTGAAACCCTCCCGAGCCTTGTAGCGCTGCAATTCGACACGACCTTGACTGGTTGTTGATCGTGGAGCTGCCTGCCATGCGGCTTGAATCTTTCCAATGTGGAACGCAATCGACTTTCTCTCTTCTTCTCGTCGACTCCTGGAGCAGTCGGATTCTCGAGCTCCTGATGACTTGACAGGCTTCAATTCTGTGCAGATCATCGTACCTCATCACTTCCAGTGCAGGCAAATCTGAGCAGGCACATCGATCGCCACTAGTGATCTGAAATTCTGAAACCATGTCGGATCTGTTAGAATTGTGAGGTTATCGAAGGAAGGGCGAGTTCACCTCACACCTGCCTCCACTCCACTCCGATCGAAGCATCGGCAATGCAACGAGTCGCCATTCGGTCCAGATACCGAGCAATGTCAACCACCAACGACGAAGAAGCACGCCATTCCACCGAATCCGACACATCACGTCGAACGACGAGTGGAAGTTCTACGAAAACTCATTCCAAGTCGAGCTCGAGCTCGAGCTCGGGCCTGGATGGATGCCAATGAAATCTCCCCATGTCGGACCCAAGGCACGCACTTCGAGTTGCGGTGCAGGTGCAGGTGGTTCGAAATTGCAAGCTTCGCGCAAATCGCGCCCAATAGAACGAGAGCAAGCCTGCAGACAGAAGATGGCCACGTGTCGCTCTGATGCTCACGGCTCGTGTGAGGATAACATGATCGCTTCAATGGGAGGGAGAGAGTTAGACGAGAAGATTGGAGCTTTCATTAGCACATTCAATCCATTTGAAGGATGCCCGAAACATTGTACGCAGATTGTTATGAGAGCTCTGCGAGAGGGAGGTGCGTCTGAAAAGTATCCGAGAAGGTCGAGTGGGAAGAGGAATCTATGTCGTATTTCGGGCTCGTGATCTGATTTCATGGATGCTTCTCCGAAATCCTAGACATTTAATCGAAGGAGTATGCGGATTCATCAGCGCATTCACCGGCCGTGCTTTTTCCTCGTCGTCTGCGGCGGTGGAGTGCAGGAAACATCGATTCCCCACTCTCACGACATTTTCTGCAATGGCGTAAACCTAGTTCTGCATCGTGCCCTGTTTGAGAGGTCTGGGGAGTTTCACTTTCGTTGATATGGAACTGGAGGTCGGATGGCTCTCGAAAAGCTACGAATTTCCAAGCGAATTGCGAGTGGGTGGGTTTGGAATTCGCACATGGCGGTCGTGAAATGTCGAGCATTCCATTCGGTGACCTAAAGCGTGCGTCCGGCATGGCCACGAGCGAGCTCTGAGACGGGGCTGGAGAGGGACATGTAGAGGCCGGGCTGGTCGTCATGGATTCAGTACTTGGACATTGCGCTCTCATCACAGTTCCTCAGACGTCACCCTCCCGAGCCGCGACATGCCGTCCTGTTTTCGTGAGCTCTCGCAGGGCACGGAATTTCACCCAATTTCTGCACTCGCCACGAATTCCTCCCGCAGTTGCATTTCGAGCGTCATTTCGTGCGGTGTCGCACGAGAATTGTTTCAGTGCTCTTCTCGATGACAAGGATCTCGAACACTCGTCGACTGCTCAGGGAGGAGTCGGAACTGAACCCAATTTCGAGGCGCATTGCGATGGTGCGGTGAAATCCGAGATTTGCACAACGGAGTGCATCGAAGGAATTGCGTCTGTCGAATTGAATGGTGAATTGAAGGGCGTGCGCGAGCCATGGGACGAGGAGAGGGGAGTGGCGGCGGCGTGGGAGCACTGGAGGGCGCTGGGAGCGCCGAAGCTGCATCTGGCGCCGATGGTGGACCAGTCGGAGCTCCCATTCAGGATGCTGTGCAGGAGATACGGGGCGACGGGGGCCTACACGCCCATGCTCCACGCTCGGGTCTTCGTCGACGACCGCAACTATCGACGCGACGAGTTCTCGACCTGCGATGGCGATCGCCCTCTGTTCGTGCAATTCTGCGCGAACGAGCCCGAGACGCTTCTGCAAGCAGCGCTCATGGTGCAATCGCAGTGCGACTATGTCGACATCAATTTGGGGTGCCCCCAGCGCGTGGCGCGACGGGGCAATTACGGCGCTTTTCTCATGGACGACTTGCCTCTCGTTCAATCTCTCGTCTCGAATTTGGCCTCCAATTTGTCGGTCCCCGTTTCCTGCAAGATCCGCCTCTTTCCCGAGCTCGCCGATACCCTCGCCTACGCCCGAATGCTGCAAGCTGCCGGATGCTCTCTGCTCGCGGTGCACGGGCGCACGAGAGATCAGAAGTGCAGCCAGCTCGTGCGCGCAGATTGGGATGCAATTCGCGCCGTGAAGGAGGCGGTGCGCATTCCAGTGCTCGCCAATGGCAACATTCGATGGATGGAGGATGTGCACGCTTGCATTGCAGCCACTGGGGTCGATGGTGTCATGTCGGCCGAGTCTCTGTTGGAGAATCCTGCTCTGTTCGCAGGATTCCGGACGCTGATGCACCAAGACCCCACGAATTCCTCCGTGAAAATCATCGACGAGCGATTGCTGTGCCTCGAGTACTTCGATCTGGTCGAACAGCATCCTGTCCCGATGCGCATGGTGCTCCGCCATATTTTTAAGCTGCTGACGAGCTACTGGTTCCAGCATCACACGGACTTGCGCGACGAGCTGCACCATCGGCAGTACAACCTCTCGCTCGACTTCGTGCGTGACTTGGTGCACAGGCTCATCGCCCGTGGCCCCCCTCCTTTCTCACCCCACAATGGCTGCAGACCTCCTCCTGCCGAGCTTCCCTCCGACAGCACTCCGAGACCAACATCTTCTTCTTCTTCTTCTTCTTATTCTCCGGACATGGTGGAGCAGAATCGACTCAAGCGAGCAGTTCGAAGGCGTCCGTCCAGGAAAATCAAGCTCCCAGATTGGGGCAGTGATCAGACAGTCGAGCTCGTCGAGGTAGGAGCGTAGTTCAGAATTCTTGTCCGATCAATTCCAGCGTTTTGAAGGGCTACCTCTCCATTCTGAGCTGATCATCCACATTGTACCTCGTAGTACCATCATTGAAATCGGTCTGTTCTAAATTCCGCCATCTCTGCATTCATCTTGAACAATATTTGGCTCGATCGGTCGAGAGGAGATCGCCATTCCGTATGGACCAGTTGCTTTCCACGCTTACAACACGGCGTTCGAGACATTTTTACAGAGGCTGGAAGTCCTGCAACCGCCAGAGAGGTAGAGTAGGACTTGAAGCTGTCATCTGGTTACGCCAGTTCACTGTGATTGCCATGGCCGTGCCTGAGAGAAAGTCCAGTGAGATGTTAGAGCGATCTTGGAGCCGAGATTCTCGTTCGGACGTAGAGCGTTTAGAGTGCGCATGGTTTCACTGCAGGTGAGCGACAGCTTTCGAGCCTGTGAAGTATAATTTTGCTAGGCCAGTAGAGTGAGAAATGTTTGGACCAGACGAAGGTCTTGATATAAGGCCCTCGTCAGGAAACTTCATGTTACAGTTCGAAGTAAGAATTTGCAACTATGGCGGGATTGACATCATAACTGTCTCTTTCCCTCAATTGTGAAATGGTTTCAAGTGAAGCGCAATCGAAGGGTGCTCGCAAACATAGTTTTGAAGTGTCATAGGGCTTTACCACGAGTACTGGTAGTGCACGTCGTGGGTGCAAATCATTTCTCGGTTCTGTGACGAGCACACTCAAGCCCAGCGCTTGGGTTACTAGCAAAGTACGATTCACCGAGATTTGAAGCACTTGAGAGAGTTCCCAGCACCTTGAGAGCCATGAGCACCCTTCTGCTTATCAGCAGAAGGGTGTGAGGAGAGTGTGAACGTAGAAGATACTCGTGATGCCATAGATTTAAGAAAATACAGAGAAGATACTCGCTTACTGTACAAGGCCCTGGAGGCCGAGAAGCACCTGACAGAGTGTCCAGGCCTTTGGTACCCGTGGTTTAGCAAGCACTTGGCAACTACTGAAGCTGAAGCTGGTAAATGGGTAACCACAGCGTAGCCCTGCGCAGACGCACAATTTGCACAACAGTAACTCTTGGATGGCTGAAAGCCGTGCCTGCTGGTAATGGTAACCGAACAAAGCCAATTCAGCGAGGGGAAGAGGAAGAAGCCTCTACAGCCTTTACAGACATGGTCGTCACTTTTGTGTTACATGCGCATAGCGGACATAGTTTCTAGCACGACCTCAAACACATATCCCAACTTCGCTTAGTTGTCTTTGTGGTGTGATACCTTTGTTCTTATTACGCTCAGCCCTTTCCCTCTTCTCACTTGTTTTACCATGATCTTTCTCTGTATGTTCTCCTCATTTGAAAGCTGTTGACCGAACGTGTCACTCGTTATTTCCCTGTTCATTGATTATGAATTCGATGCATTGGATTTCTAAAACATGTGTGGGAATAGTACAGACAACATTGGCTACTTGCCTTCCACTTCTTACACAATCAACTAGTACGAGCATTTCATGGAGAATGATCTTTAGCACGATGTACCATATACTATGTCTGAAGGGAGTTCAATCCCCATAACCTACAGAAAATCACAGTCCACAACCCATAGAGACACAAGCGTTTGTTTCCGAGGTTCAGCTTCAAAGCCTATTCCCCGCGAACTCCTCAATGAAGACAGTTCGAGTATATATATTCAAGATCAGTTTCTTTAGACTTGACTTTCCTATTGCCCTCACAAAGTTTCAATTTACTGAAAACTACACATTTGAGAAATCACTACTGTTCCCCGAGCGAAACTAACACTTACTCACAGGTGATTCTCTCCCGTAGATGTCTCCCCATTCTCCCTCTCGACTACTCTTGAAAACCTTATCACTGTTCGAGACTTAATTCGTTGACTGGATAAATCAGAATATCAAAGTAAATCAAAGGTGTCAATTCCTACACGGCCAATAGCATATCGACTTAGCGAGCATTTACTAAACGACAAATACTCTAGAAAGAAAAAGACATACAACTGAAGCTGATATCTCACAATGTCGAACAAGAGCTGCAATTAAACTTATAATCAACAATCGTTACATTATAGATGATTATTAATTGTAGATCGGAATTTCTCAGGACACATCGAATCTATTCCTAAAACAAAATCTTATACCAGTGAAAGCTATGTGAAGAGTGGTTAAGGATTCAGGCGAGGTGTCTCTGACACCCACGAAGCAACGTTAGAATTCTAGTTAGAATCCTTAGAGGGCTCAAAGTAGATCTCAGACTCATCAAACTTATTGAAGGTCGAGATGACTCAGTTTTGATTACACAAGTAACACCACCCGATTGACGCGAAATTCAGATGATTTGAAGTCGACGTGACACCCAGAATGCTTGATGCTTCAGGTGACTCATGTTGATATCATACCAAAGACAACCATTAAGTTGCTAAAAGTATCAAGATATTCGAATAAGATGCAGGACCAATGAAATGAAGTGCGTACATTGCCCATATACTCGAGAGAATCAAGTGTTGAAACCTTATAATAATTAGTGAAACGTATGAGTTTGACCGATCACGGATCGAGTAAATATAAATAGTCAAAGTCCTTGGAAGATAGTTTTATAATCTCTTCGATCAACTGCCGTCGGTTTCGCCACAGACTCATATCGTCGAGCTTTGAGTCGAATCTAGTGGAAGGACAAGTAACTGCTGGATTGTGAACCAGTTCTAATCACATTGTGTGGATTTTCTGGCATGAACAAATCTAGAACTTTCCAGGGCTTACTCAGACTCCTCATACGCAGGTGATTAAAGAGAAAGAAAGTCCACAGCGGTTCAAATGTTTAGCATTAGCTTAACTTGCAGGGTCTGAAATGATATTAGAGATTTTCAGAGATCGAGTGGGCCGATCCTACATTTGCCAACAATGTCAAGCCTGCTCCACGGTGTCGACAGACGACATTCTGCAGCATGAACGCGACCTCTGACTTTGACTACTAATTTGGGATCCTGAAAACCCCATTTCTGTTTGGCTCCGCGAGGCGATCTTTCTTGTGTAGGTTGCAGCATGGCGAGTTTTCTGAACCAGTTTGGACAAGCTGTGATCGAAAGGTGCAGCATTCAAAAGGTAGCAGAAATCAAGTCATGGAATAATTGGGAACTGGAATAACCTCAAGTCGAGCAGTGGACCAGGCTTTTACTGCGATATGTGCAGATCCAATTGCACAATCCTGATCCGACGGATCTTGCAGATACATTAGCGCTTCTTTTGTTCTGGACTCTCCAGACGGGCATCAGTCCTTGACAGCCCACCCTTTTCCACGAATGAAACCCGTCGATTCAGAACTGAAGTGAGTAAATACCTGCACCTTGAGCAGCTGGTAAGATCAAAGCCGGCCTCGTTGACACTCTAAGAAAGTTCGATGCATCGAGATTACAAAAATCCCTCGAACTCCACTGCCTTACTGGACTCGGATCACTCCATCTGCTCGATACTTCGACGCACTATCGAGGAACTACAAACAGTGATACTAATCATGAGAAGGCCAAATGGAACAGTCAATGTACCAACATTCAAATCAGTAGGCCAACAAGACCGACTTGTCTAAAGATACAACGCTGGGCTCTCTCTCGGCACTCCCGAATCTTATTGCCAGCTTCTTCTACTGGACCTCTGAAATTGCTTCCATACATGCTGCTGTTGAGTCAGACCTGCATGTGATGTGATGACAACTGCAAGTGCTCTTCATCGGAACTGTATGTAGCACTGGTAAGTGTCCAAGGCGATACTCTTTTCTGCATTGGCCTTTGCCTTTGCGCTGCTCTAGGAAGAACTCCACAATCTTCCCAGTTCGTTTTATTTTCTCTAAAAAAAATACTTTAATTTTCATTTTGATTTCAAACAATAAATTATTGGTAGTGGCAATTTGAACTTTCCAGTTTTATGTAAGACAAAAGTTTACGAAAATTTTGTAACAGAATTGAATCTGAAATGTGATTGATTCATGAGTTAGTCAAATCTTGCAAAATCATGTTAAGGAAAAATGATCAAATAAATGGCATTTTAATATAGAAAAAATGATAAGAAGTGAAATTTCGAAGAAGAAAAAAATTTGCTTACATCAGTTTAAATTCATCTCTTTCAACGAAATAAATCAGAGTGGTCGTGTCGCTGTAGACTCCCGTGACGATGTTACATGTACAGTGGGCATTTCTTGTTCGTTCGCATATGTCCAAGCTGGTAACAATATCATAAAAGCGTTAACAACCAGTTTGCTCCCGATCTGTAACTGACTTCAAAACTGATGAGGTTCTCTAAGACACGATGAGTTTCGAATTGGTTTCTATTTCTTTTAAGATAGAGCAATCTTTCCCTTGCAGACCCATATATATATATATATATATATATTCTCTTATGCTTTGATGATGATGCGTACCTGGCCACAAGCGCCACAGACAAAATTCCTTTTATTTTTTCCTCCTTCGCGTGTAGCTTTCTTCGCCGGTGCCTGTTATTCGCACCCCATAGATTATTGCCTGTGATGTCAAACTGGTGATACATGACCTGCAAAGTCTACTATATACTGGAAAATGATACACATAACGCATGCCTCAGATACTCACAAGACCTCACGTGAAAAAGAATGGAGAAATTTTGAATGCTGGACAGGAGATTGCCTTCGGTTTTGCCTCATGTTTGATTACAAGGGGCGTCTTCGCAGTCTTCGATTTGGCGGCACCTTGTTGAGGTACATTTGCTTTGTCCCCTTGTGCCTTCTGATCAGGCAGTTCCGATGAATTCATCATGGCTAGATAGAGAGCGACCTGAGGCATCAAATTTGGTAGATTATCAATCACTCTCACCAAAGAACAAGTGCTGACGGCAGGCAGAAATCCACGACCTCCATACGAGCTTACCTCCTTCGGATCATCGATAATAATCTCTCTACAAGTGTAGGTGCCATCTGGCTTCTTCGTGCGAAGGATTCGTTTCAAAATCCTTCGTTTCTTTTTAGCGGGTGAGGCTGATGCTTCTGCTCCAGCATCGTTCGCCTCTTTGGGCTGAGCAACCTGCTTTTCATTGCTCACAGTCGCACATTTCTTCTGGTCCTCCTCGGCCTTGTCATCTGCAAAGCTTAGTAATTTGAGTTAACGGACAACCTTCGCATGTGATCGACGCAGCTCGCGTAAACACGAAGATGCACAAGAGAATAACCTTTCGGAAGCATGCGGCGAAGCTCGGCTGCTTCGAGTTCTTCGTCTTCCATTTCTTCCTCATTCTGAGCGTGCAAATCCCGTCGACCTCTCATACCATCTGTCCTGCCTTTCCTCTCTTCTCCATCGTCGGCTTCCTCAGCCTCCAGAAGATTCTCAAGGTCTCCAGCAAATGAGGCCAAATCACCATCTGCTTCTCTGTGAGACTCAGAGTCTTCTCCCTCAGCAGCAGCTTGACGATGCCATATTTCCCGAAATTTCTCCTGCGTTTGTCGTTGGAGCTGCATCAATGACATCCTTTGTCCTCGACTGTCACTCCTGAGGCCGCCTGCTTGTTCTCTCGAAAGCTTGCCTACTACTGCAACTAGGACTATCTGATGCCACCGAGTCCATTTCTATATCTGGGCTTCAGAAGCTTTGCATGTCAATCGTACCTCCAATTTCAGAGATTGACAGCTCAGGATACTTTCACGGGTCGTAGTCATGCATTCGAAACATCTCTGTTACCGCACTGTCATTGAGATTTGTATGCATGAGAGCACTGTCATTGAGATTTGTATGCATGAGAGTTCAAACTCGTGAGATCAACATTATTTTCACATCGAGTTGATCTGAGCAATTTTCCATAACTTTGAAAACGTGCATTTGGGAAAAAAGAGGTATCTCAGTTGGCAAGACAGATAATAAAATTCGTCTTTTGAAACGAAATAAATGGACATCTACCTTGTTTAATTCAAATTTCTATTGAAATAAATCAACATGTAGTTATACATTTATTTCATACTGATAATTGAATTTGATGCAGAAATTCATTTCAGGAAATATATTGTGGTGTAACACAACTGACAGTTGTGTAAGCATGTTTTAGTTTCTTCTAAACAAATACCTCTTCTTTAACAGCTCCGGGCGTGGCATCCTCGAGTGTGGACATTAGGGCTTTTTTTTTCCTGGGCTGGCGATCTAGCGTCTTGCTATGGCAGTTCGATTAATTTATTTGCTAAACTGCGAATATAGACGGCCGACGTAAAGATAGTTCAGGCAAAATTCGTGAAACTGCTGGAGATAACGATGATCTCTTTCTATCCAATTGCAGATCACTGAAGAGAGCGAACACATGTGGAGGAAGAGCACCCGAAGACGCATCTGATTGACGTACATTACAATTCAGAAGTTTTCGAGTGCTGAAGACTATCAGCGTCAAGTGAGAAAGCGATTGCAACGGTGAATGCGAAGCGCTGTCGATGGTGAAAATCATACTCCAGTGCCCAGATGACATGTGGCATTACTCAATCAGCCGGACCACCACAAGAACGAAAGCGAACGCTGCGCTGCATGCAAGGACAATGAAGGAAGCTAGAGCCGTATAGGGTCTAGCTTCCTGAAGAATTTCTGATGAATTTCTGTTCATGGAATTTCAGAGAAAATACCAAAATAGATAATTCGTTAGTTTGCGTAAGTAAGGTTTGTGAACCATGAACCAGGAAGTTTATGTATATTGTGTTCACCACGACGGGACACGAACTTGCACTTCCATTCTTGTCAGAGTTTTCTCTTCTCTGCCACATTGCTCCATGCATGAAAGGTTGGATGGTGCGCTCCCATCACTTGACGCTCAGTTCGGTTATGAACAGCAGGACTCGATCCACGAGACGGAACCTGATCGAGAACATGGAACGTTGCGGTTTGCCTCACGACTCCGGCTGGAGCCAGTCCCTCGCAGGAGTCAGTAGGATCTCAGAGATCTGGCTTTCCACTGCATCACTCCGGGCTGCCCACGTTGCCGCCCGCGTTGACTGCGACGGGCGACCGTAGCTTTGCTGGTGGCGGACGCCAGCGAGGAGGGTATGATGTCCATACGTTGCCATATGCATCGAGTCCCTTGGACTGAAATGCAGTGCATTTTGTTGAATCTCGGGTTCCATTAAGTCGTCTTTGAGGTCGGTTCCCAGTTCGAGATGTTCGGGATGAGTTCAGTGCTCGTGCATTCTACTTTTGTTCCGATTTTGTGTACCTCCCATTCAGCTGCACTTCACGTGAGCAGAAAGAGTACATTCTTCAGAATCCATGCAAACCTGAGAGACATTGTTGAATGTTGCAAGTGATTTTCTTATTTGCAATTGTTCTGTTTTTGCAGCGTTCTCTTCCCTATTTATCTATCCCTATCTATCTATATGCAATGAAAATTCATTCTTTATTTATTTATCGTGATCTCGCTGCGTCAGGTGAAGAAATTTGAACGTGAAGATTCTACACGTGCAGACTTTGCTCACTTTTGTCGCCACACTCAACTGTGTCTTTAGTCTTAGGTAACTTCAGATGACCTTTGTTACATCAGTGTTGAAAAAGGTGACATCTGTGTCTGCTACCACGTTGAATTCTCAGATTCTTCCATCACTTTATCTGAGACCCTGTCTGAAAGAGCTCATGATTCCAGCAGATTTCGATGAACTACGTCGTCTCTCTGTGATCTAATTTAAGATGATGTATCTTTCTCTGAGTTATTTTGTCAACGGGGATGCCATTCATACAGAAAATTCTTACCTTGGTGGGTACGCCATTCGTTTTGACGAATCACTCTCAAAAGCTACCGCATCACAAGATCTGTACGCAGCAGCCCTGCCTTGAAGCTGCTGGTTCTAAAGCCTATATCGAAGTCGTCCTGCTGCTACTGCTTCAAACTTGCAGTTGAGCAGAAGGTGAACATTGGATTATGGCTGAAGAATTCACAGGGATCAGATTCTTGACTGTCCACTCCTACTCTCAAGTAGTAGAAGAATCAAAGAAAGAGAAAAAATTGGCTCACAGTACTGTATTGTTCATAGCAAGCAGGGAGAACGATTAAGAAACTGATGCAGACAATTTCTTGCCTTACCGGTGCAGTTTCTGGGTACTGTCTATGCAAGTACTTTCCGGAACGATAATTGGCGATTTCTGCCGTTAGAAGTTTTCAGCGAAGAATTGAAGTGGCACTTAGAGATCCATCGTACCTTGTTTCGTGCTTGAACTCCCCGCAACAAATACTGTCCACGAACATAGAGGAAGCTGCTATAGAATTGTCTTCTTACAGTCAGCTGAAGTTTCCGAGCTAGAGTTGTAGTATTCGATGCTTGCGACTGAAACAGCTCCATTGGCAACGTACGAGCATGCACCTCTGGCTCATCAGAAATTGAACAGAAAGCTCGTCTTCATTTCGTGTCGTCAGGTCTCTGGAAGTTGTCGTTGAAAATCCTCATGCTGGTTCATCCATTTCGAAACCCCGTTGGGAACTATCTGAACTCGAGCCACGAGACTCAATGACCTGATGCTGGTCTTCAAAAGTTTCACGGAAGAAAGACCAGTGGCATCTGAAATCCCACAGCCCTCCGTTATCTGCCGAGTTCAACGATCAGTTCTGTATAAAGGTCTTCAGTCAACGATCTGAAGAGTGGAGCGAGAGCAAAAGTACCGAAAGACTTTGTCTAGAGAAATGACCAGTTCACCACTCCAACTTGGACCTGTCGTCTTCGGCTGCACAGTATAGTAGATTTGACTTGAAGTACTGCAGACCTGAAATGGGTTCCTCATCAACCAAGTGTCAGAATCGCAATGTAGAAGAAGTGGGATTGGAGAGCTTAGGAAGGCTTCTACCGAAACTTGAGATGTCAAAGATCATCGACGGAAGCTGAGTCCACCATCCATGAGATGGCATACCCACCAAGGTCAGGAGAAAGTAGCTTGTGAAGGCAAAAGAGTCTCAAGAATCGGGTTTTGTTGCTTATTTACACGATGGGAGAGAAATCTTTATTCAGAGGAGGAGGGTGTCGTAAACATAGCAATCCGAGAAGCTAAGTGTGTTGGTGTGGAATATCCGAGGACTTTCAACAACAAAGTATGTGAGTGCTGCTCCGATTTGGAAGATGGCTAACGTCATCAACATTGTGGAGACTTGGGAACATGAAAGCAATACTATTGCTGAGTTGGAAGGATTTACCTTGGTGGGGTCGACATGGACCCAGAGAATACAACATGCGGAGAGGGGTCAAGGAGGTATTGCTACTTTCATCAGGTCTCATCGTCTACCTCTCATACATCTAGAAGCTCAAGATGTTGGTGGACAGTATCATTGGCTACGTCTGGGTGTGGTTGGAGTATCTTATTGTTATTTGGCAATTTGTTATTTAGCACATTTGTCCATGGGTATCTACTCAACACGCTTTTGCAACCAAAATGAACCATTCCATCGGCTTATTGGAGATGTTATTAGATTCCAAAGTAAAGGGTATGTATTTCTTGCTGGAGATTTCAATGCTCGTATACGTTGTGCTCAATTTACTCAATTTAGTGATCCCTTGGCTTCTTCTATGTTTGAAGAAATTTACGATAGTTTGTGGTGTAGAACCTCTTTTGATCCTTCCACAAACTCTTTGACAGAGCACTTTTTGACATTTGGAGCCACTTGTAACCTGAAGGTTCTCAATGTAACTTCTCGCTTTCTCAACTCTCAGTCCAATACTTGTTTTTCCCCTACCGGTGTTAGCACAATAGATTTTGTTTTGTCTTCCTTGGTTAGTACCTCTTTGATCTCCAATTTTGATGTTCTGGATCCTCAACCTGAATCAGATCATGCACCTCTTTTGTTCACACTTTCAATGTCAAAATCAATCTCTACTTCACCTTGCCAATCTCTTTTAGCTTTTCCCAAGTTTCGCTTAGATCCTTGTAAAAGAGACCTTTATACAGAACATCTCCAAGATCTTTTGACTCACACCATATGGAATCCAGATTCACATACCGCTACTTTACAGCTCATAGAATTGCTCAAAACTTCTGCATTGAAGTTCTTTTCAAGTCATAGTACTAGGATTGCTAAGGGGCTATCTTGCAATGGATGGTTTGACTCCGAATGCAAGCTAGCAAGGGCAAGGTCAGTTGATAGGTCTTTGGATATTCAAAGTCGGCTTCTTTTAACAAGGATATACAAAGACTTGATGAAGTCTAAGAAACGAGCTTTCTTAAGACGGAAGCAAAAATCCTTGAGAAAGGACTTGATGAAGTATCCCAAGTCCTTTTGGAAACGATTAGCTACACCATCGTCAAAACCTTCTCTTGATTCCAAGTCTTTGATAGCTTTTGCTGAAAAGCTCTATTTCTTTCCAGAAGCCACATCTATGCCATACTGCGAAGCAACACCTGGATTAGAGGAAGGAGAGGTGATGACTATTCTCCAAAAATTAGCAAATGGCAAATGTGAGGATTTAGATGGCTTGTCCATTGAACTTATCAAGTGGGGAGGAGATTGTATTGGATCGGTTCTCACTAAGCTTTTGGAAGATGCTATGGTTCATGGTTTTCCATCAACTTGGGTCATGCTGAAGATTGTTCCTATTCATAAATCAAGAAGTAATGACGTGGTGAAAAACTATCGCACTATCATGGTTGCTAGTGTTTTTGCCAAGTTGTTCAGGAAGTTGGTAGACTCGAAGTTGAGCACATGTACAGAGGATTTTCAAAAGAGAGCAAAGTCCCAAGCTGGTTTTCGTCCTACATACAACACTATTGACCATATTTTGGCCTTACGTGTTTATGGGAGAAATCCAAGTGCAATGGGAAAGCTTTATTTTGTGCCTTCATCGATTTGAAGAAAGCTTTCGATACTGTTCCTCCTAAGCTTTTATGGGAAAGATTACAAGACATTGGAGTACCGTCTAATCTACTCGGAGCTGTGGCCACTTTATACAAATCCAGTTCGAGCTAAGATTGATGACTTTCAGCCTCAAGAAATCTCGAGCACCATTAGAGTTATTCAAGGTTGTACTCTTTCTCCTACTCTATTCGGAATATTCATAGATGATATAGAAAGGTGTTTAAATGATTGTGAGAGTGAAGGAGTCAAACTTGGAGACTTTGTGATCAAAGCTCTTTTGTATGCAGATGATATCATATTACTAGCACGTGATGCAATTAGTTTACAGAAACACCTTGATACTTTGGCTAGCTTTTGTACTCGAAATCAGATGGAGGTCAATCTGGAAAAATCAAAGATCATTCTTGTGTACACTAGATCCAAGTTCTCTCTCTTTTACAAGAGACTAGAATTGAAACAAGTGAAAAGTTACAAATATTTAGGCATTGATTTTTCTTAGAATTATAGTTGGGCACTTTGTGTGCAAAAGAGAGTAGAAGCTGGTTACAAAGCTCTATATTCATTGATAAATCGATGTAGAAGAACTCATCTAGTATCTTGGAGTCTTAGGAAATTTTTATTTAGGAGTTTAGTGTTGCCGGTGGTTTTATATAGGACACAAGTGTGGGGTACTGGCAGTAAGAAGACAAGTTGGGAGCGTGTGGAGAGTATGCAAAAGATCTTCTTACAAGAAGAGTTAGGTGTAAGGAACCAAACTCCTTATGCTATTCCTTCTTGCGGAAACATGTTGTTTACCTCTTGAGGCTGAAGCTCTCTACTTGACCATCACTTATATTAGAAGGGTGAGATCTCTTGATGCTTCTTGACTTCCTCTTCATGCTTTGCGTGCCATACGTTCCAAAGGATGGTTTGCAGATGTGATGACTTGGTCTTTGAGGTGGAATGTGACGGAATTGGATTGGTATCTGCAACCTATGGCCCTTCGCGAGCGTATTAAGGAGTAGTTTCTCAACATCATTTGGAGTAGAGTAGGCACTAAAATGCAATTTTATCAACTTCATGTGAATCCTATGCTTATTTATTGTGAGCAAGGGTACCTTGTTGCAGAGATCGCAACATCTTTACGTCATATTATTGCCAAGCATAGAACAGTATCTCATAGGCTTGGAATTGAGGAAGGACGTTGGTTGAATATTGATAGGAGTGAACGGATTTGTAGGCTATGTGATGGGAAAAATGTTGAGGATGAAGAGCATGTGTTTATTACTTGTACTAGATATATAGAGATTCGAGTGACGCATAAAGTTGATGTTGAGAATTTCTATTCTCTGCTTCAACTCGAACATTATGATTAAGGTTGTTACATTAGAGATATTATTAATTATCGTTCTGGTGCTTTGGGCACTAGCTAGGGGTTTCTTTTGGTTCTCTCCTCGTTTGGAGTTGAATTGTTTGTATTAGCCTTTTGACCCTGTGGATCTCACGGGCTTGATCTATTTACCATTACCATGTGTAATTAAAGGAAGACATGTTCCGAGACCAGAATCCACATAGTGCGTGGACATTGTTACTCGAGTATTGGATGGTGAGGAAATGCGTTTGGTCGTCGATTCTGATGCTCGAGTATTTAGGAAAATGCGGCAGTACTTCTACTTACTATGTGTTGAGATTTTTTCCCTCATACGTGGACCCAGTGTGACGAAGTCGTCGGTCAGCTCTAGTACCTGGTCCATTCGTTGCCTGCCTGGCCCGCCCGAAGTTGTCATTTACGCCAGTCGAACGTAGTTATGGGACTTTGAGGTTGGTTGTTGCTTTCCTTTACGGTTGACAAGCCAAAAATGAATTTCATCTGAATTTCATAATGTCCTTCAAGTTCAAGGAAAGCATAAAGCTGATGCACCTTGAACCTGCTGCGTTCTTCGTAACCTATGATTCCTAGAGACAAGGGAAGACTTGCCATGCGCATCATATGTAACGTAATATAATACGAACCGATATTGCTCCGAGAGCTCCAGTTCAACGATCAGTTTGTATAATGAGCGAGCTGTATGAAAGATTCACTGCGATCCATTGCGGAGAACTTGAAAAGATTTTTGACCATCTTGCTGCTGCTAATCAGAAGTGGGAACCAACTGCTGCAGTGGACAGCAGGTCGGCCCACCCACCCGGCCTCCTCCCCTCCCCAGTCAGTAGGAAGGTAGATAGATCAGACAGAAGTAAATATCGCCTCGCCTGAGATAATAAAGTATTTTGTCCCACAAAGACTAAACAGAGCAGTTGATCGTGGGAGTTTTCGAGAGAGGTGAAACAAGGGTAGGACCAGACAACAGACTTTCGGGGCCACACAAGCTGAATTAGACGTCATAGAGTTCTCTACAGCTATTACAGATATCCCTGTCCACTTCCGTCTGGCTGGGTGGTTCTGCTTTCTGGGCGAAGCTGAATCAGCTTAAGCTCAATCGCTCTATGGAGGAACTGACTGATGTTTGTAGTCCTTCGATCGTGTTCATATCCTACTAGCTACCGAGATGTGTACTTCAAGTCGATGCGTTCAGACTTCAGTCCTGACCGGAATTTAAAGTGTGCGAAACTTTTTACAGGGAGATCTACGTAAGTCAAAATCGAAAAGATTATTCAATATGATTTTTTGGACGGAGTGTGTTGCTCACAAGTTCCCTAGGTCGATGAGTAGGTGTGGACTGTGTACACCACGAGCCAGGTCAAACCAGAGGACGTGGGAGGCTTCAGAGAGAAGCAGCTATTTGTGACACATATAAGAATTCAATCGGAGGACATGTACATATTGTGCAGAAACCTGAAACCTGTCAAGCTTATCTCTGAGCTTCGGATAAACCATAGTATCCTACAAGGAGCACGAGCTGCAGGAAGTGTAGGTACTGGCAGACAAGATGGTGAAATTATCAGAAACAGCGAGATTTACTGCACTGTGTGCAGCATTTGCAGTGATTCTGTCGATGGTCACTGAGCCAGCTGATGCTCAGTTAAAACCCGAGTTTTACGTGCAGACCTGTCCACAGCTGCCTACGATAGTACAACAACAGGTCCAAGCCGCTATCAAGAAGGATGCTAGAATGGCAGCATCTCTCCTCCGCCTTCACTTCCATGACTGCTTCGTCCAGGTACTGAAAAGTTCATCGGAGAAGAGTAGAAACCAGACCAAATGCTTTTAATACGGATGCCGACTATTAGGGCAGTGGTTTTCCGATATGATGTCAAGAACTATTTAATAATTCGAATGGTTTTTGAGAACCAGTCGTCCATACGTGCCTTGACATCAAGCGGTTGTATTTGTAGGGGTGTGATGCTTCTATCCTGCTCGATGATGATTCCAGACTTCCCTTGGGAGAGAAAACAGCTCCCCCAAACCTGAACTCTGTGAGGGGTTACGACGTGATCGACACCATTAAGAGTGCTGTGGAGAAGCAGTGTCCGAAGATTGTCTCCTGCGCTGATATTGTGGCTCTGGCTTCCGCGATCTCCGTTAGACTGGTACGTACAGACATGTGTACCATCGTCCTCAAATTTTTCATGTCCTTCAGAGTCCTAATTGTAGTAAGCTGATCGATGGGTTGCGTTTCTTCGTCATTTCTCTAGTAGGAAATGAAACTTCAACTGTTGTAAACTGGTTGACTCTTGAGGTGTAATACAGACATCTGAAGTGTCGAGCCATGGCAAGGGTCTTTTCAGTTTAAAAGTGAACATTCTCTTTCTTTGCTATCAATGAAGCTTGGAGAAAGTCTAGCGCCTCCTAATATCTGAGTCGACTGATGGCAAACTTGGACTGATTCTGCAACAGAGTGGAGGGCCAATGTGGTATGTACCACTCGGAAGACGCGACAGTCTGACAGGAAATTTTTCAGCTGCTCTGGAATTTCTTCCAGGTCCAAGTTCTACCGTGACAGAGCTGAAGCAAAAATTTTCTAACGTGGGTCTCAACGTTGTAGACTTGGTTTCTCTCTCTGGTACGACCACTGAAACACATGTCATGCATGGGCTGTTTGTCTGGCTCACTCGTGTTCTCCTTCCTTGCAACTTCTGGTCGTGAAACAAGGTTACGACCATTTTACGCGAAACGCTTCTTATTGATAGATTCCTTCAAAACAATGTCAGGAACCTCCAGGATTCTGAGATCATTAGTTCTGATAGAGTGCGTCGCAAGGCTAAACCACCTCTATCCTTCTTGAACGTCTGAAACTCCGCCAATATGTCGAAATCTGTGTTTGTAAATCAGTGATTATTGAATATCATTGAATGTGAGATGGGGCCAAGGTTATGATCAACGTATGGTCAAGGGTTGTCGACTTCCAACTGACCCTACGAGAGTCAAAAGTTCATGCTAGAAAATTCGGACGAGAATCAGAATCATAATACGACTTGTTCCATACGAAACCAACGACGAATGTTGAGTTGAGTTTTGCCCATCCAATAAGATGAGGATCCGAAAGTTATTTCAGTTGGAGGTCGGAAAACGATGGCATGGGCTCTTAAGACCCGACCCAATCGAGGGCCAGATCTTTGCATGAAGATGCTCTAAGCTTTTTGAGCATTGGTAGCCTGCCTGCTGACATTTACTCTGGCGGTGGATGGATGTGCAGGTGGTCACACGATCGGACTTTCGCGATGTGTATCAATCATCACCCGACTTTACGACTTCAACGGAGGTGGTGGGGCCGATCCCACAATCGATTCTAAGTTGCTGGCCACTCTAAAGACCACTTGTCCCAATGGTGGGGATGGCAACGTGACAACGCCACTGGACCCGACCCCCACCGTATTCGACAACCGGTATTTCAAGCAGCTGCAAATCTTCAAGGGAGTTTTGAACTCGGACGAGGTTTTATTTACGCAAGGGAATGACACCAAGGGCCTTGTGAATCTGTACTCCCAAAATGTGACCAAGTTCATGGCAGACTTCGCAGCCTCCATGATCAAGATGGGAAACATGAAGCCCCTTACTGGCAAGAGTGGAGAAATTCGTCTCAATTGCAGGAAGCCCAATTCGCTTCTCTCGCAGGATATGGAGCCCTTGATCGAGCTGGTGTCAGACATTTGAAACATTTCAAAATCTGAGCCTCCATGGTGTTCTCCATAGGTCGAGAGGCACAACCTTCATCCGGCGTATATACTCACAGAACAACGTGGCTACAGCTGCCTCTGTTTCTACTCAGTTACTCTCTCGAAAGCCAAAACTGCTAGACTCCAGACTTCAATAGTTGGGGCATATGCACAGTTCTCCTAGACCAGATCCCAAATCCCAATCGGTCTTGAGCTCTCCTCTCCATTCCACCGTTCGAGCATAGGACCAACCTAATGGCGGGGAGCAGATCGGGAGATCCTACGGTCGGATTAAATATGTCAATATTCCTTTGATTATCAGCAAACCCATCTGATCGTAGTTCTCTGAACATTGTCAAAGGGTCGCGAGCAGTGAAGCCTGACTGCTCCGTTAATAGGCTTGATATCCACACGAGAACTTGAGCTCATTATACTCGTGCCATGCAGTCCTGAAGCTTAAGCGTGCACATTTATAAACTCACTTGTCGTTCGATCTCTCATCAGCATCTTATTATCTTCACTGCGTAGTCGAAAAGCTAATCCACTGCGATAACTCAGAGACGAGATCTCTTCAGATGTCCAGATGATTCGGAGATTGTAAACACTTCTACGGAAAATCTTTGTATACATGCTAAATTGTCTTGATTCATTTGTCATATGATGTTTTGAGTATACGACTTTAAAATCCATCGAAACCGCGTTATTTCTTGTAGGAACGACATTTCATATCGAATTTCATGCTCTGCACAAAAGAAACACAGTTCTCTTTAATTTTCTGTTCTGCGACAGAAACTTCCAGTGTCGCCCACGTCGACTATAATCAACACCAAACTGTTATAGATCCAATTTCCACCGAAAGTCACGATCTGCTCTGTGGCTCAAGTTAAACTGAAGTTTCGAAACAATCTGGCCAACGAACAGCTCAATTTCCACAACAGTGTCTTCAGACTGAGCAAATCTCGTCGGATAACTTCGAAAGCGATGCGATGAGAGGATTCTGGAATCTCGCTGAGTATTTACCCCCACACTGTGCTCACAGGTACTGAGAATGAATTTGTGCCACAAATGCATTTTCAGGTCAACAGCAGTTGAAAGGAAGAGATAATGGATCAACTTCATCTCAACTGAAGTGCCCGTCGTCAGAAGAGACATCTTCAGCAGATGATTCTTCGACTCCTTCACGTTCCACACTCACCATTCAACCCGTGCATGCAGGTTGGCCGATGACAACAGACGGGCGTCATCGTCCACCCTGCCTGGACGGGCGTCATCATCATCTCATATTAATCTCCGGTCATTCTCGCCAATCCTACGGGGTTTTGCCACCATGATAATTTGTGCTTGAAAATCCGCCTTTCGAAGGATCACATCTCCCCCAGATATTCCCTCCGATGTTCAACATCCACTTACATTTCTACAGCTCGGCAGTCCCATGAATTTCAGATTCCCGAACGTCAAGCGACTGCAACGGCAAATCGACCTCGTCCTCCATTTATTCATAAATACAGGCAAGGTGCTGGGTCCCTGTGCGCCAGCGTTCACGTGTCGAGACTTGAGCCGCCCCACTTGGGGCGCCTCGTCGATCACCAACATTGGACTTCTTCCCTCAGTCACCCAGATCCTTCACGCTCGATAGCAACTTTTGATAGTAAAATCTGCTCTCTACGATCACTCACTTATCAAGTCTGTGGGTTGGCCCCATCGCCGCGATCGCAAGGCCATTCCAACCATCTGCAGAACTTCGGGAGGCCGCATTTGGCCCGGCCTCCTGCATCCAAACCTCGGGTCTCGTCTCTCAGAGCTCGAATCAACCGAAAGCTCGAAGACTGTGGTCCGAGCAGGAGACTTCCCTGAATAGGACAACAACGGCACTCTTGTCTGACCTCCTCCGGAAGTAGAAAGAGGACGTCGTCGTCCGGACCAACGACATGCACAGTTGGGACCCCGAACGTGGTCGAGAAGCGTGAGAAGCTCACTCCTCCCGATGACCACGTACGACATCATTCTCGAGAGTCGCCGCGGTGTTTATGGATGGGCACGGCTCGGGTGTTTGTTAGCCGGCTAGCCGATAATACAGCCGGCTAGCCGAATAGCGGACGGCTCGCCGATAAATATTGCCACCTCTAACCGGGGCCGAAAACTAACCGTAAATTCTGGATGAATTTAGATTTCGGCCGATTATTTTTCAGATTCGGCCGAAATTATCCTCACTTCGACCGAATATTTCGGTTGATTGCATTTTCACCCAATAGCCGATTAGCCGACGGCTAGCCGGCTAAATTTGAGTCCTAGCCGGCTACGTGCCCATCCCTAGCGGTGTTATGGCACGCAGTTGTGGAAGCTCATAACTACGTCGCGGAAGCCGAGATTGTCGTTCGGGCGGGAGCGAAGGACTGTGCTGCGACTGACGTCGTCGGAGACTTTCACGTCAGAGGACCGGGGTCTGGTTCTCGTCGCTGCTGCGGGTCTGCGAGCTCTGACACGCACCTCAGATCGCGAGTCCTGCTACAACTGTGATCGAGAAGCTCTGATCGAGCGCGTGCTTGCCACAAGTCCTCGGCGCGAGACTCCTCCCAGAGGTCCATCTGCCATGGGCTGTCTGAAGTCAAGCGATGAGCATGTCCACTGTCCAGCTCGGGCGAGCTCTGGAACAGCAGCCGCGAGGTATAAGAAGGGCCATTCTGAAGGAGTTTGTACTCGAGCTCGAATCGAATGAACCAGCGCCCAGTGAGTGAGCCGCTGAGTCCATCGAAGATCGCCGGCCAGTAGCATCAACACAGAAGGACTTGCCATTCGGACACGATGGTGACCGCCTCAAGAGTAGCGAGAATATTTGCCCTTTGCGCTGTGTGCGCATTGACGCTCTCGCTGCTGGCTGCCGGTCTGGCCAGCGCTCAGTTGGTGCCCGAATATTACGTCCAGAGCTGCCCCAAGTTGGTCGAGACTGTTAACAAGCACGTCGACGCGGCGATCAAAAGCGATGCCCGCATGGCCGCTTCGCTTCTTCGACTGCAATTCCATGATTGCTTTGTTCAGGTGATCGCCTGTTGCAAATAGACCTGCTTGGTGAACTTAGTTTCCAAATAAGTTTATGCTCAGTAGAGCTGATCACGAGGTCTATTGTTTGTTATTGGTGTTCTACATTGTATCAGGATATTACGATCGGCTGAGGTTTCATCTCCTGATTGTCACTAAAAAATACTCCAAAACTAACTAGCACATTATTGTTTCAAGGTTTGTTGTCCCCGAGGCTCGTGTATCGAATGATCACTAGAGGTGGTCTGAGCCGACACCTTTTTTGCAACACAGTAGTTTGTTGACGCTGGTCCAAAGAATAATAGCGAGTTTTACGGATTCGAAATATTAACTGAGAATTTGGTGTGCTATGCATAAGCGAGCCTGACCTGATTGATGCAAATGCAGGGTTGTGATGCTTCCATTCTTCTCGACGACGACAGTAGACTTCCGTTAGGAGAGAAAACTGCCAATCCCAATATTAATTCGGTCAGAGGTTACGAGGTGATCGATGTGATCAAGGCTGAGCTGGAGAAAATCTGCCCCAGAACTGTTTCCTGTGCCGATATAGTCACTTTAGCTTCCTCGGTCTCCATTCAGAAGGTACGCAGTCTCCTGAATAGTCACGTCTTGGTTGTTATCAGTCCCCGTCCTGTACTACTTACTGCCTCGAGAATCGTGTTTCATGCGAGCCAGTGTGGCCAGGTTCTCTGATCTTTTATTCGATCGGATATTCGAGATTTCCAAGGCCAGATTCCTTAATATGCTCTGCAACCCGCTCATAGGCCATAGTCGTCATGCATCGCCTAGATTTCAAAAGGCATCAGATGCAATATGGCCTGAATCCCGGCCATGCTGATCGGCAGCGGAAAATGAAATAGATGAGAGATATTGTACGTGTCCCTGACTAGAAGTTCTGATCTAGTTCAGAGGCCTCTGGGTGGGTCGAGCTGCACATTGACCTGCACGTTGACGATCAAGTCGTGCGTAGAACTGCTAGATTCTGACTGCGGATTTCGTCGGGCAGACTGGTGGACCGCAGATGTATTTCCCACTCGGAAGAAAGGACAGTGTAACCGCTAGCTTCAGCAAAGCCCTCGAGTTTCTTCCCGGAGCGAACTTGACCGCAACACTGCTGAAAGCAGCGTTCTCCAAAGTTGGTCTCAACGTCAAAGATCTGGTCACCCTCTCAGGTGAGATCGATAATTGCTTTCCTTGAGTCGTGCATGCATTGCGCAACATGAAGGATGGTTTTAACACGTGTGATATATCGACCGATGACATGTCCAGGCGGTCACACTCTCGGATTCTCCAGGTGCTTGCTGTTCAGTGATCGTCTCTACAACTACAACGGAACCGGAAGAGCCGATCCCACCCTCGAGCCCTCCTTCCTCGCCAGCCTCAAGCAAACGTGCCCCCAAGGTGGGAACGGCGCTGTCTTGAAGCAACTCGACACGACCGTGTCCAAATTCGACAACCAGTATTACAAGGAGCTCATTGCATTCAAAGGATTGTTGACCACAGACGAGGCTTTGTTCACTCAGGCTAGTGACACCAAGGCCCTTGTACAGACATATGCCAAGGATCAGGCCAAGTTCTTCGCAGACTTCTCGGCCTCCATGATCAAGATGAGCCTCATGAAACCAACTACCAACACGGAAGTTCGAATCAACTGCAGGAAGCCCAACTCACTCCTCTTGCAAGACACGGAGCCATTGATTGAGCTTCGATCTGACATTTAGAACCGCGGTTTGTTCCGGTTTGTTACCACGAGCAAGATGCAGCCTCTTATGTGTGCATGTGAGTTTCTCCGTCGCATGACTGTCAGAAGACGACTATTGCGATTGCAAGAAAACATGAGCTATCGAACTCCAGATTTCTGTTGCTACGTCCTCCTCTGAAGCTAGAGTAGATGTTTACATATTTGCAGGCGGTCTCTGTAAGATTTTTCTAGCTTGACACTGCACTCGTAGGAATTATAGCGATTTTGTGTAGGTAGTCGATGAATGGTCTTCAGGTGCACTTGACAATGCGCACACTGTCCAGGTCCTCGTCTAATATGTAGTAATGTTCCTTCATCATAATAGTATCTTCTGTGACTTCTCATTCTCATTCTTTGCTTCGAGAATGAATCATGTCCTCCTCTACTCCCCAATGCACGAACGGAGTGACTATACATACATCGCTCTCAACTGGTCGCTTCGTTTTGACATAAGAACTTAGAGATAACGCTTAATTGAATTGTCGATGAGTACCTATAATGGTCACAGTCGCTAAAGTCCTATTGTAAAATCCTGGTTTGACTATTTTGGTTTTTTAAGACAGGAGGAGCTTCTATGGCTTTCTTTTTTGGTGCAATACATGATATACAGATCATACCCAATTTCTGAATCGGTGGGCCTGCGCCAAACCTGTAGGATGGCCCTAGCGTTAGGTCCAACAAACGCAGTAAAACTTAAGTATCCTAAAGTAACCCCGAAACTCTCTAGACCAATCTTTTCATATCGGTACCATTCAAGTGAACAATAAATCCACATAATTTGTAAACCTTATCCGACAAATCTTCGATATTAATTGGAGGTCTGCTGCAAGGCAGCTAAAGTATGAATCACAGAGTGATCGTTTAGCAGACTCATTCTCACAGTTCATGTCTTGCTTCCAGAGAAGTATCGTAGTTATAGAATTGTACGCCACTAATGTCCATAACAACAATAGCTGTTATACGCGCAGAAAGTCATACAGATAAGACTGAAGATATCTTCTGGAAAATCCAGCTTAAAATCATCATAACTTCTAGAATACACTGTTTTATGCATCTCGTCCATAGAATCCATACTGTACTTCAAATGTCTAAATATGACGTGAGCTCATCACCCATAATCTGGAACAAAGATTTTAAAGACGATATGGTCAATACGGAATAAGGAGATCCAGCTGCTTTTGTTCAAGGGACAGTATTGTCGGAGTTCGGAGGTAGTGGTGACATGTTCACCAATTGGGATGTTCTATGTCGATGACAACAGGTGACTGAAAGCAAGATGATGAGGAGAACTGGTAATATTCCACATGGCCTAGTGGAAACACGTTTTCCTCTACTGAGGTTATCATTGTTCAGGAAACAAGATGCTAGAATGTTTTTCTGGAGCCTGTTTCGAATGCTCTACAACCCATTTTCAAAATTTCTTGACCCAATTTTCAATTTCCCTGCCATGAAACTTCGATCTAACTCCCGGGACATATAGAAGAGGGCGATCTTATGAAATGAGAGTGTATAACATGAATAATTTGAAAATAATAAGATAAAGGATTCTAACTCAAGTTTTACTAAAAATAAATGAAAAAAAATTCGAATTATTTCAAGACATGTTCAAATTTACATAAATTTTTCATTAAAAAATGTGACCTTCAAAAAATCCTAATATTTTGAAATCAGAAAGAAAATATGTCTTAATTTTAAATTATATAAAAACTGATTCACTTGGAACAGTTATTATAATTCATAGAATTTTAATTTATATCAAATTTTTTTTAACCATTTTCATGTTTATTGACATGATGTGTTGTTATGATGTGTTGTTTTATTCACATATGTTGAATACCATCTGTGAATAGAAATTTAAATTATATGCTTTTATTATTTTCAGATCTTCGTTAGCTTATAAAGAATCATTAAACTAAATCTTTGGATTTTCAGATAGATCGGAAAAAAGTATACATGGAAACGTATTTGAACGTACTTTCAAAAAAAAATTACTTAAAAAAATTTAGCTGTGTTCAATAAAGCTTTAAGCTAAAAGAGATATCTACTTTCATAAGAAATTTGAGAAAAATGAGAGATTAGATTTCATAGATGATGTAATCTTTACATCAAATTTTTTATGACTTCAAATACTCAAATATGAATTCTTAAAATTATAAAAATAATTTGAATTTTTTATTCCTTAAACATTATGTTTTGAAAACTTTCAAGAAGTTTTTTCAATATGTTTCAAACTTTTGAATGGAAGAAATTTGCATCTAATCTACGCTGATAAAACACTTTAAAAAAGAGTTTGTAGAATAAAAATGGCTCATTATATCCAAAGAAATTATTTTTAGCCTTTATGCTCATACTGTCTGAATATCATTTAAGTTCTTTGAACTGTTTAAAAGTAACATCTAATAATATAATTTTTCAAAGTGATGAATCTTCATACTACATATTGAATATATATGTTGTTATAGATTTATGAAATCGAAAATTATCTCCAAAATTATCAAAAAAAATAACCATTTCTATAGCTGATTTTATATTTAAAATTCATAAATTTTTATCCTTATTGATGGTCACACATGTGTGTTGATGGAGCAATAATTATAATATAAAAATTTTTAGTAAGAAAAATATTTGTACATGTTTAAAATGAAAGATCACAATATTTGATGGTGAAATGTGAAAAAACTGCTTTTTTTTTTGCTAAAATTCAAAATCAATTGATCTAGAATTAAAATTTAAGTTAAAAAATTATTATTTTCTAATTTTAAATTATATGCCGTAGTCTTTAAAAAATTTTATTTTTCCATTTTTTTTTCAACTTATGTTTGTCTTGTATGAAAATGAATGAAAAATCTAATAGAAACCATGAATTATTCTTTTTGACTTTTACCAATCTCGATAACAAGTTTAAATGAACCAAAGTATTGATTTCTCTTATTTTTTTCCATAATTCTAATTCATGTTTTAATCTATCAATATTTCAAGAATGTATTTGCCAGTTAAAGAGGATCAACAAAAAATGAAAAATTGTCTTAACACACTTAGACTTCATTCTTCAATAATTATCATTCTTCAACTTTATGTTTCAAATTTGTTTAACCATTTTCATGTTTATTGACATGATGTGTTGTTTTATTCACATATGTTGAATACCATATGTGAATAGAAATTTAAATTACGCTTTTATTATTTTTAGATCTTCGTTAGCTTATAAAGAATCATTAAACTAAATATTTAGATTTTCAGATAGATCGGAAAAAAGTATACATGGAAACGTATTTGAATTATTTTCCATAAAAAATTATTTAAGAAAATAGCCGTGTTTAATAAAGCTTTAAGCTAAAAGATATATCTAATTTCATAAGAAATTTGAGAAAAAAGAGAGATTAGATTTCAAAGATGATGTAATCTTTACATCAAATTTTTTATGACTTCAAATATATTTCAAAATTTTGAATTGATGAAGATTCACGCTCATTTTTCATCTAATCTACGCTCATATAACACTTTAAAAAGGAGTTTGTAGAATAAAAATGGCTCTTTATATCCAGAAAAATTATTTAAAACTTTATGCTCATACTGTCTGAATATCATTTAAGTTCTTTGAACTGTTTAGAAGTAACATCGAATTGTAAATTTTTTCAAAGTGATGAATATTCATACTACATACTGAATATATTTTGACTTAGATTTATGAAATCGACAATTATCAAAGAAAATAACCATTTTTATAGATGATTATATATTAAAAAATCATAATTTTTTTTATCCTTATTGATGGTCGCACATGTGTGTTAATGGAGCAATAATTATAATATACAAAATTTCAGTAAGAAAAATATTTGTACATGTTTACAATTAAAAATCACAATATTTGATGGTGATTCACAAATGTTAAAAAACTGTTTTTTTTTCTGCTAAAATTCAAAATCAATTGACCTAAAATTTCAAATAAGCTATAAAATTATTATTTTCTATTTTCAAATTATATACGGCAGTCTTCAAAAATATTATTTTCTCCATTGTTTTTTCAACTTATGTACGTCTTTTCTGAAAATGAATAAAAAATGTAATAGAAACTATGAATTATTCTTTTTGACTATTACCAATCACGATAACAAGTTAAAATGAACCAAAGTATTAATTTCTCTTATTTTCTTCCATAATTCTAATTCATGTTTTAATCTTTCAATATTTCAAGAATGTATTTGCCAGTTAAAGAGTATCAACAAATAATGAAACTTAGACTTCATTCTTTAATATTTATCATTTTTCAACTTCATTCATTCTGTTATGATTAGTCAAAGGTGGAACTGATCGTTCATCAGTCATTGCTTAGTCCAGCATCGCGGAAGCTGCAAAGTGTTTTTGGATCATCAACGTCAGAAAGGTCATTGCCACATTGACAGTTGGAAATATGAAAAAGCAACAGTGAGAGTCAAGCATGAGTTGCGCCGAGGATCCACAAACGTTGTGCATACATCGCAAATACAATCCAGATCCACTCTCACTTTGATACTCATACCGCCATTTCCTTGGAACAGCATAAGCGGATGATGGAGTACCATCAATACTGATGAAACCGATGAATTGTGGAATTGAGGGACTCGTCATGCCGCACAGGATATGCATGATGCTGATTGACCTCACTATTTCGAATATCTCTTGAAAATCAAACAGCACATTGGCGGGCACATTACTTCCTTCTGTTTCCAGGTGCAAAAGGCTGGCTCAGAGACAACCCGTTGCAACTCTGCGGCTACACGAGTGTGAGTCTGGGGCCCTTGAACTGGTTGGAAGTCCAGGATCCGAGGACGAGTTGTTGCATATGGCTACGCCGCACTAGCTGCCCCATTAAAGCTTCATATAAAACGTGAGCTTTGCATCAATTCAATCAAACAAGATCCAATGCAAGTACATTTCATACAAGGCCTTGATCACCACTCTCCAAAGTAGTGTTCCGAGCTGATAGCCCAATTATGTAGAGCAGCATTTTGCAAGTTCAGTTCTGTTGGGTGCTTGCCCGCTCAGCTCATACTGAACTTCCGATTGTTACTGGCGAAGACGAGCCGACATCGAGCTCGCACGCAGCAGCTGCTGGTGGACACTGAGGTCGCTCGCAGCATCTGAGGACGTGCGAACTATGGCTCCACAAGGTCAAGAGTCTGCCTTCTCGGTTCCTGGCGATGAAGCTACCGATCTGAAGGGTAACAAGTTTGCACTTCCCGTGGACTCCGAACACAAAGCGAAGACACTTCGTCTGTACTCGTTTGCATCTCCGCACATGCTAACCTTTCACTTGTCATGGATCTCTTTCATGACCTGCTTTTTTTCCACATTTGCCCCGCCTCCTCTCATGCCCGTCATCCGAGACAACCTCGACCTGACAAAGGTAGACATC